ATGTGAGGTGCGTGTGCACCGCGACACACACCCGAGGTGAGGAAGGAAGAAAAGCAAACCAGCAGCGGGCCTTGTCCTGGGAGAGCAATTGCTGTCGCCAGGTATGTTTTGCACACTCCCTCCCGTCAGTGTTACAGCACACCTGTGAGGAGGACTCACATTATCTCCATTATTGTCTGCACAGGCGAGCAACTGAGGTTCCAGAAAAGTTAAGTAACTTGCACAAAATCACACAGGAGTAAGCAGAGACCTAGGACTAGAAGTTAGGTCAGCCTGACTGCACGGGCTGCGTGTTACCCTCGCATCATCACGGATCTCCAGGACAGAAATGATCATGGCACCTCAGGTGATAAGCTCCAAGTGGCAGGTAAGAGTCACCTGGTGTGGGAAGCCGTCTGGAGTCTGGACTGGCCTGGGGATGGCCAGATTCGGATAGGTGAGGTAAACAGCGGAAACCGCTTCAGGCAAGCAGGCGGGTAGGGCCCAGGGGCTGGGAATCCAAGCAAGGGAAAGGGCCAGAGAGGAAGACTAACCAAGGACCAGTGAGTTTGCAGGGGATCAGTGGGAGGAAAGTGTAAGTTGGTGTCAAGCCCCAGAATAGCACAGGCCATGGGGACCTTAAAGGAAGGTTTTGGGGAGAGGGTGGGATGGCTCAGAGTGGCAGTGAACCTACCTGTGGCTCCTCGTTCACCTTTGATCCCGAACAGCTCTGCAGGGGAAGGAGAGTGGATGCAGAGTGAGCTGCGGGGGCATCCTCAGCTTTGTCCCCACCCCAGAGCCCAGGCTCTGCATCGGAAGGCTGAGTCCTCCTGGGTGAGGCAGAGACTCAAGTCAGGTTGAGGTAGGGGGAAGGACTGGATGACAGGAGCCAAACACCTGGGGGGTTCTCAGGAAAAGTCCTTGGAAAGAGTCAGATGTTCAGCTGTAACTATTGTCTGGACCCTGGGAGCTGTATGTCCCCAGGAACTGTAGAGATGAAGAAAGGGAGTCACCCCAAACCAGCTTGAGGAGGTTTCTTGGGTTAAGGAAGAGCCTCCTCATTTTGGTCAAAATGAGCTCCCCACACTTCAAGAAAAGGAAGACTCTCCCCCAGAGTCCTCATGTCTGGACTCCACCCGTGTGGCTCGACCTGGGTATGAAGGCCAGAGCACCATGTCACAGTGTAAAGGAGCCAGCTTTGCCCTAACTGGCTGAGGGCAAAGCCCTTCCTGTTCTCGGGTTGCCTGGGAGAGGGAGACCCCGGGGTTTCCACCTCCTGCCCACAGCCCTACTGCCCAAGCCACCACATTTCCCCCAGCAGGTCTGGCTGTGCTGTCCCCTCCACAGTCCCCACACTGTCCAGACCAGTTTGGTGTCCTCAATTGCTCTTTAACTCTCCACAGGCCAATGTAAATTGGCTGCAGGGAAGTAGTCCTGGGAACCTCCTGCGGCTCTGCGTCTTATCCCCTGCTCACAGACACGCTGAATCTGTCTGGGGACGCTGTGGCTCAGACCTGTCCTGGGGCTCGTTGCTTTAGTCCCTAATTCCTGGAGGTCACGCTTTGCTTGGTCAGGGCCTTGTTTCCTACCCCTACCAACTCACAAGGCCCTGTCTGCAGCCTCCCGTTGGGGCTGGTACCCCACCCCACACGGCTCACGCCCCCTGCTTTGGCCTCCAGAGTCCCAGAGCAGGCCAGGGTTATGGAAGGGGAGGGAATTCAAGTCTCATCCATGAACAAATAGCTCCTCTTTCCTTGTCCTTCCTCTAAGGAGTCCCGAGCCAGACAGAAGGAGGCCGAACCTGGGTTCCGAGTGAAGTTGTCCACCTGCTGCGACAGGTGTTCCTGGCTCATGCGGACCTGGGCAAGTTGGGCCTGAAGGACTTGCAGCCCTGGGTGTGAGCTGGGACGTCCCCACTGCAGCAAGAAGAACGGCTTGTGCTCAGTGGCCAGTGTGCCATTGGGGAAGTGCATCTCCAGGGCCTGGAGCCGCTCCTGCAGGTTCAGAACTGGACCCCGCCCCCATGACATTCTTTTAGGGACTCCATTAGAGCCTGAGGCATTTGAAGAGATGCTTGACTTCTTTTTTTTTT